AGTTCACATCTTATCAAACTACGGGATCCTACGGAAAAACAAAAGCTGAAAGACCCCGTACACATTAACAGACTTAAAATAGCGCATATCCGAGCACCTGACCCTGCACACTGTTTAGCGCCGTCAAATGTTGAGGGTACAGAGTCAGAAGAAAATCAAAATAACAGTTGTAGTGTTGATGACGATATTGAAAAACAATAGTTCGATAGTGTTGACATTGTTGAGCCTCATGTTAGGAGGTCTACAAGAACAATTAAAAAACCATTGCGTTTCAGAGACGAACACTTCGTTATTGTTAATGACATTGAAAGTTCAACAGATGCCAAATCCGAAAAGTTGAAACGAATTTTGGGAAAGAAAAATAATGGAAATTAGTCTTTTCTTTATTTAGTTCAATTAGTTGGCGAGCCCTCACAAAAAGCGCAATGGAGGACATTATCACAACTATCACAAAAAGCGTAAGAATTGTTAGTTTCACGGCCGCCGCCGTTGGTGAAATAATTTCGACTGATCATCCTAGTATTATATCTACATCGTGTATGTGATTTAGACATTATCTTGGTGATAACTGTGTCGCCAATTATTGGGAATATTCTGAATTTCAATTTGCAACAGTGTCGTTAAAGTTTAACGATAACAGTATATATTTATATATATATATAGTCAATGTGCGTGCCATTTCCTTTGATTGTTTTCGTTTCTTCAATTTGGATTTAAAGGGTTTGGTGATAACTGTATCGCCAATAACCATTGATTTGTTTTTGTAAATACGTTTTCGAATTAGTATTGAAGATCAATACTTTGCGAGGACTGTCATGCTAGAATGGCCCTTGTGTGATATTCTACCGATCTTAGGATATGTAACAACGTTTGAAGTGAAGTTAATGGTGTTTCGTAAAACGGATTTGGTAAAAACTGTTTCTCCAAAGTAATTTCGAGTAGTGTACTTGTGATTAGGATGGAAAATGTTCAGTTTATGACTTGAATAACATTTAATAAAAATTTGTTTTTATTTGATATGTAACCAATGCTAAATGTGTTTTTGATGGTGTATTTATATGATTGTGCGTCTGCTACCCATTTCATTTATGCAGCTTTTATAAGTACATGCAAGTGTGTATATTTATCTTTGTGCGTAAGTACGAGTCATAAAGTGGTGTAGGAGATTTAATGATTTGCTTAGAATGAAAACCTTTGATTTTCAATGCTGTCGTATTTGTGTGTAGACAAGCGAACGAGGAGTTATGGTCTCCGCTGAGAAATCGTAACATTTATCATTCAATCGAGGGATCCAGTTAAATATGTAAATACTGTATCTCTATTAAACTATACTTTATATTAGGTGCATTATTTGCAATATTTTTCGTTGACTTTATATGATAGGTATACATTAATGTTTGGGTGCAGTCGCGATAGTTTGAGATGATTTTAGGAGAGAGCAAACATGTTTGAATCGTTTCATTAATTGTTTGAAATTTCATTAGTATTTCATTAGTATTTCTTAGATATGACTTTCATGTTCTACATTTATGTTTATGATTACAATGTTGTATTCCGTCTGTGAAACTACCAACCATTTAGAAATTTGGAAAATTTCTTTCTTTCGGAGCGGGGATGTTGTATATCTAATTTTCGTAAGTAATAATGGTTGCTAGTTCACATTCTGGTATCTGTATCATTCCGGAATCGGAAAGGGTCATTCCGTATCCGGTTTGATAATTACTCTCTCTTTATTTCTTGTCAATGAGGATAGCAGACATTATTTTTATTGAGTGCAAAATATTACAACAAAACTATTTTATTCGTGTTTATTTGTGTCCTTAACATATAAAAGTCCCCCAAGGATACAGAACAACTGACCTTCATTTTCAATGCAGTTAAAAATGGGAAAAAATATGTCCTTAAATTCATTCATAAATCTGCAATAACATTCACAAGTTATTCCATCGGGACATAGGGTTTTCCCTTTTTTCATCACATTTGCCGAACGACAGATCTCATCAAAAGTAATATCAGACTCACACATTTGATAATCTGAAGTGTCTAGTGTTCTGTTGAGAAAATTCAACATCCTGTTTTTGTCATCGATATTTATTTTGACACTAGAATAAAGATTTGGATAGCAATTAAAAATGATATCTAAAATTTGACCAGTATCATAAGAAATTTTCCTTTCATTGTCTTTAAATTCAATAATAAGTTTTAATTCTTGCCACTGTTTTTTTCTAATTGTAAAAAATAAGCAGTATTTGTATCACCATATACCCACCAAAAGGCCTTTGAACTCAATATGGCGCCTTGACTTTATTTTATTTAATCTCCGCTAATTTAGAATTTAAATCTTCATACTGATTCATTTTAATACAAACACCATTAGCTTCCTTAGCTGACATTTTTTGTAATTTATTTTGAATTATATAACAATCTTTATTTTTTCTATTTTTATTTATCTTAACTATTCACCTGAGCGAATGGTTTAAACGATATTTTAAATTATCATACTAAGTGCAAGTAGAGGGCTAAAAAATAATAATAAAAAAAAAGAGTACACCTCTTCATGGATTATTTTCTTAATGTTTTTTTTACAAAATTTCGTCATTTAGTACTTGATTATTTTAAATCCTCAAACCAGGTCCAATCTCTATACAGTTCTAAAATCTAAAATCATTGACACAAAACTATGGTCACTTAGACTGGAGTCATTATGATAAATATTTTTCACAAATGGTTTCAAAGTTAGAGAAACTAAATGAAAATCAATTCTTGACTGTCTTAAAATATTTTCAACAATTTGTTTTCTAGAAACATCACAAAGTACATTATCATTAATAATCGAGTTCAATAAACACACAGCTTTGTCTTCCTTATGATCAGTTTTACAGCCTCGACAGTTGTATTAAAATCACCGCTGACAACAGCATTAATCAATTAATTAATTTTGGAATGAATATTCTGAGAAAAATAATCTTTCTTGTACTGGATTCGGAGTATAGATATTGAATACATCGATGTTTATACCATCAAATTTGTGTACATCCTTTGAAGTTTCAACAGTATTTTAAAATTTTACGTACCATAATAGCTACACTACATGAATTGTGTAAATCGTTTTTGTTACAATAAAAAACATCACCATTTTAAATGGTATTACATCTTTTAATTCTGTGTACTAAAAATATCATCCCAATGAGTTTCTAGGAAACACAATTATATCATACCTTCTGTCGTTAAACAATGTAAATACATGTACACAGTAACGCTTTTGTTGGTTATGTAGACCATTACAATTGAAAGTAACAATAGAAATCATGATCAAACTATACAAAAGAAATACATGTATTAATAATCGAGTTTTCAGATCCAATTGTAGTTTGTGTTTGTTTTAAAAGAGATTTATCATACGGAGTAGACATTCTATTTTTAGATAAAGCTTTCTTTTTCCATTTGTTTACAAAATCATTCACTTATAAGACTGGGAAGGGTAATTTTCACTCATGTTTTTATCCTGGGTAGTCAGTTTCATCTACAGACTCATTATTTTTCAGTATTGAACTTTCAATCAAAAATGCAGAGGACATGTATTATAATTGTTCTTGTTCATTATTTATTTCAGTGACATTGTCAATTTCAATTTTTTCAGCATAGTGTTCATCAGAGTAGTCTTATACATGTTTTCTGCATGTTCATCTGATTTGTCAATATTGTCGGTCATCCCTTCATGATAATCATCCTTCGTTTCATTATTGTCAGTTTCAGTGTCTTCCTTCTTTTCATTATTGGCAGTTTTAAAGTCTTCATTTGTTTCATTTTTGTCAGTTTCAATGTCTTCACCATCATTATCATCAAGCTTCAATGTATCTGTATCATCATCTTCATCAATCTGTGTTTGTGTTTCACCATCTTCGTTCAATGTACTTTTATCGTCTTTAGCACTACTTTTAGTATCTGGAGATCGAGCTTCCTCACGTTTAAGGGTATTGTCGTTATATGTCCCCTCAAAGGTTCGTTTTCCACCAAAGAGTGAGTGTGGTTCCGCTTGCCATTTACGCATTTTACTCTTGGCACTATGGAACACAAAATGCGATTCTCGTTCACATGTACATTTACATAATACTAAGTTGCACGATCTACAAGCTGGGTGAGTACAGTTTTTACGAAAATAACATTGTTCATCACATGAGTAACAAGTAAATTCATGACAGTCCTTGAACAAAACATTTTTAGCAAACCTTTTGTTGTTGATTATGTATCACACGATAAAAGGCAAAGTCAGTGGCTGTGTGATACAACTTCATAGTGCAAGATGAACTATGCTTAGACCACTTAACATATCGACGCCCCTTGTAATGCGGGTGACTGTATTTAAATATATAAAAGTGTTAAGATCTGTGGAACGATACTGATAAAAGATAAAAATATACGAACAAAATAAAATGAAATCGTATTGACAGATATTTCGGCACAATAAATGGCCTTCATCATTGTCAGTCCCTTTTCTAATGTGATAAAAAAAAATGTGGTAATTTTGCAAATTATCACATTTGAAACAAAATATTAAGTAGGCGTGGTTTCGTATTTTTACATTATTTACAACGTATAGTTTTATGCCATTTTGTAGTTTCAGAGGATTCGTGGCTCATAAAAATAAAGAACAGTCTTTAATTTAAGTAATAAGATATAGCAGACAGACTGTGTCGCATGTATTACAATATCAAACTTTAAAATCAACAACAGGAAGGATGTAACTCTAGGTCCTTCCCGAAAATCTGAGGTTACGCCTCCTCCATGTTTTTGGGCAGTGCTTTGTGTTTTAGGGTTTTAGATTTATTTGGTTTTAGGGAACAATTGAGTTTTCATCCAAAAAACATGAGATTTACGTATGTAGGGTTTTTATTTTTGCTTATTCGAAATTAGTGTCAAAGCGATGCATATGTAACTCATTATCTTTTTATAAGAAATTCAATGTTCATACATTTATCATTTCTATTTTCTGTTTGTAGTTTCCAAAGCAGGGAATGATCCTGTTCAAGACTCAGGTGTTGAACCATTGACTATTTCAAAGATTTATCCAGACTCTCGCACATTGAACAGTGACTTATACTCAGAATTTAGGGTTATTTGTGCAGTTAAGGGATTTTCATACCCGCAAAACGTACGTATACAAATATACTAGGCAATTCTAAATTTAAAGTTGAAGGTGATAAAGCCATTTTGATCTCCTTAAAATAAAAAAAAATATCATCCTTCAGATATCAACAGTACATTATCCTGTCTGATATCATTATTCATATTTTTTTTTAATTCTGTCTATTATTTAAGCCATAAGGATCCTGCCAAAGTAGCCTCCTCTGATATATTGTCATAAATATGTATATATGAGCAAAGGTCTTAGCAACAAAGATATTTTACAATAAATTTTTTTATAGACTGATATAATTGGTAACGTGGGGGTATCCAAATTGCAACGATTTTGACAGTTTTATATACTTACGTTTATTTAATAAGAAACAGACAAAAATTTCCGTTCTGTGTTAATTTTGTAGTTGTATCCTTATTAACCATACAATTTTCATATCTAATTTTATATCCATGCAATACAATACAATACAATACAAATAGTTTATTTACGTCTCACCATTAATATTACAATACATACCATAATACACGAATACATAAAACAATATAAAATATTAATGCCATTCTAAAAAGAATTATGAGAGACGGGATTAAAAAAAATATATATTGAAAATTAATAATAATAAATATCAATGTACAGCTAGATTTAAAAATTTCCTTAAAATTTAGTTATATTTACAGTTAAGACAAAATGTTTAACGGTTTAAAAAACGTCCTTAAAAATATTTATATTTACAGTTAAAGACAAAATGTTTAACGGTATAAAAAACGACGTCTTCTATCTAAAATAAATTTGCAGATTTTGGCACTATAAATAATAATACTATCACAGTCACTGGCTAGAACAATAGACAATTTTTCCCGATTAGAAAAATTTAAAAAGTTTGAGTGTTCTGACAAAATAATTTTAAATAGTTCATTTCGTAGGTCATCGTACAACGGACACTCCAACAAGACATGTTCCTCAGTTTCAACATTGTTTTTACAGGTTTCGCAAGTTCGTTGTTGCACGGGTAGCCTCTCAAATCGTCCAGTCTCTATGCGGATCGGTGCAACACCACACCGAAACTGCGCGTATGCTCTTCTATGCGATGGAACTATAACTTTGTGCATGTATTCCTCGGTGTGTAATGACGTTTTAAAAGTTCTGTATGTCCTCAACTTATTTCCACCGTTACCATTCCTTTGAGATAAAGTTTTATTGAGATTTTCTGACCATTCATCGTGCAATTTAGATAGAAGTTTGTCAGAGAGTACATTGAATTTCTTAACTAAGGCTTTATCCACATTTTCGGCGTTATACAGGATCATCATGTCTGCTGATAAAAATTGTTGACGGATTCTATAGTTCCAGTTTTTACATTTACGTGCGTTCAAGCTACAAACTTCTGAACACTTGAAAATTTTGTAGTTAAGTCTATCACGGTCCATGTTTTTTAGTCTACACCACTGGTTACTGACACTGTTCCATTGTTTTATGTTAGCTGGTATCCATCCTGAGTCACCGACTATCGCCGTGTTTGGTGTATATCGTCCAACACCTATAAAAAAGCGAATCTCTTTATTCTGAACCGCGTTTACACAGGAAAAGTTTGTATCTCCCCATACTGCCGCTCCATAGCTGATAGTGCTCCAAACTGTTGAATCATATAGTTTGGAAAATGTGCGAAACGGAAAACCTCCAAACGCTTTATGTTTCGAAATTAAAAGTCCTAAAGCTCTGTTGGCGGCAGCTGCAACATGTTTAGCCATGATCTGGTAGTCCAAATGTTCTGTTAATACGAGTCCAAGATATGTATACTTATCGACTGTTTGCAAAGTTATATTTCCACATTTAAAATTTGATGCAGATCTTGGCGAAGAATTCGGACGGAAATGTAAGACATTTGACTTGTTTCCATTCACTGTCATTTTATTGTTGACGCACCATATATTCATTGAATCCAATAAAGTTTGCAGTTCGCTTTGAGAGTTGGCAAATAATACTAGGTCGTCAGCATATAATAACACCGAAACTTTTTCACCTAAAATATCAACTCCTAAATTTAAAGAGGTTAAATGTGTCGCAAGGTCATTAATGTAAAAATTGAAGAGTAATGGCGACAATAAAAAGCCTTGTTTTAGGCCACAACTCACATTAAACCAGTCTGTTTTGCAGCCATTTATCCTCACACAACATTCCACACTTTTATACAAGGACTGAATAGCGTTATATATATTCCCTTGAATACCAATACTTTGAAGTTTCCGAAATAAAATGGTACGATCAATACAATCATATGCTTTGCGGAAGTCTATAAATGCAACAAATGTTGATAATCGGTTCCACTTTCTGGTTTCTATAATTGATGTGAGTGATGTAACATGATCAATAGTGCTCCGTCCTTTCCTGAAACCGTTCTGAACATCACATAAAATGTTATTCTCGGATTCCCATGCATTCAGTCTATTATTTAACACATGACAATAAAGTTAATAACATACAGGAACCAGCGTTATCCCTCTGTAATTCATCGGATCCATACTGACTGCTCTATGGTCGGGTTATTGTCTCTTTGACACATTCCCCATTTTCATTCTCAATTTTATGAATCATAGAAAAATGGGCTTCAACCGACCTCTTAGCGGCACACGATTCTGTAATGAGGAGTAACTAAATTTTATACATGCTTAACTTCACATCCATAAAAATCAAATAACTGATGTGTTGTTTTATTTCCCCACATTTCTAAAAAAATTTGACACTAGTCTATGCTTACCATGATTTTTGTAAGAAATGGATGCCTGTGACATAATTTAACTGTTCATTTTTAATCCCGTCCCCTTTTCCCCGAAGTGACCTACCGAATTAGACTTATTACCGGGTTTGTACTAATATGAGCAACACGACGGGTGCCACATGTGGAGCAGGATCTGCTTACCCTTCCGGAGCACCTGAGATTACCCCCAGTTTTGGTGGGGTTCGTGTTGCTCAGTCTTTAGATTTTATGTTGTGTTTTGTGTACTGTTGTTTGTCTGTTTGTCTTTTTCTTTTTTAGCCATGGCATTGTCAGGTTATTTTCGACTTATGAGTTTGAATGTCCCTTTGGTATCTTTCGCCACACTTTTAAAAACTGACTTTTTGTGGATGTCGCATGCGACGTTTCCGCAGATTTTAATTTTTCACTGGATACCTTTTCTGTTGATATATGATGTGACCCTTTTGTATTTATTTAATTATATTTAGCCATGTTAAAAGACGTGCATACTGGAAAATTATAAAATTACAAAGTGTACAGTCTCTAAGACAACATGTAGATTTCCACTGCTTTATTTGCAAAATGGGTGCAAACAAGTTAGGGTTACATGAATACGGGTTCAACTGAAGTTGAATTATTTACTTGCAAGACAATAATATATTTGCGATGTTTTCGATCTTATTTTGACCAAATTGAACCAAACTAACTACTAATAGCGAAATATTGTTTCATTATTACGCTTTTATAACTCGTATCGTATTTAATTTTTTTGTCTTAATGGCAGCTTATGCCCCTTTAAGGAGTTCATCAGCAATGTTGTATGAAATCAAATTTAATCGTACATGTACAAGTGAACTTCAAGGATATTTTGGCATCATAAAGCCAGTCAATTAAAAAACCGCTTCGACAGCTTGTTTTCTTTACAATTTAATGATCAATCAAGATTAAACTTTTGACAAAAAATGTTCTTTCCAAAGTAGTTTGATATATATAGTTAAAGAAAACTACAATATATATTTAGAAAACAATTCTTCTTTTGATTTTAAAAGTATAGATTTAAAAAAAAAATGAATTGTGACTTTTTGTCCATGACTTTTTGGTCTGTATTTATTTATCTGTGACCTTCTGTCCTACATTCAATTCTTGTGTATGTACAAAGACAAACAATTACTGCACCAAGTAATTTTATCATGCAAAAACACAAAACAAAGTGTAAATTGACATTTCTGAAATACGGATTTATAACAGAAGTTCATAGCTTTCGGCAAGACTATACACAGACACACAATAATACTTAGTTTATCATAGTAATTATATTGATCATTTCTATTATTTTACTATTATTTATATTTTCGCAAACATAAGCCATCACATAACCCGGATATAATGTCGGTTCCGTACCGGTTGCGGTGATTCACCAAGTCGGACAAATTTAAAATTGATATATTCATATTTTGTATTTTTTGTTATATTCTTTTCTTCAGAAATATTATTATTTCCTATAAAATAAGAAGGAAATTTTAGGTCCTTTGTGCTCTTATTATACTCAGGTGTGGTCATTTGAGATCTTATTATACTCATTTGTGGTCTTTGTGCTCTTATTATTATACTCGTGTGGTCCTTTGTGGTTTATTGTGCTATTTTGTGCACAACAGAGATACTTTGCGGTGTTTTTAGGGACCCGCCAAAATATACAACCAGCAAGTAATTTTTAAGAATTTGCCATATTTGGTAGAGACCATGGTGATTGGGTTTTGCTAATTGGTTTTGAAAATTTAAATGAACTCTTGAAAGTCCCCAGCAAAGAAAATCAAACATTCTTACTACAAAATGTATTCAGACAGTTCAGAATATACGTATCAATAATTTTCAAACAGAGTTAAGACTATTTAGGACGTGTCCACACAATTTAAGCTCAGTTTAGAATGTTGATAATGAGAAGTATAGAGGAACAGTTCAAGTCGTATTTGTGGTGGTGGAGGATGTGGCAGACTAGTGACGTCATTCATTGAATGACACGAAATAAATGGCGCATGCGTCTCCGGAAGTCACTTAACCACAAAGGTGAACTGCGCATGCGTGACGGAAAGCCACTTAAACGGAAGTTAATTCTTGAAACCGCCATCATGGATGGGATTAACGGTCATTTTCCAAATTGTAGATTTTCCCTGCAATATTTTCGTTTGGGATTTCTCGGGTAGGTATATGAGATGTGTGGTTCTCGGGATGTTACCATAGATAATATAAGGCAGGTGTTACCTGTGAAAGAGGACTTCAG